CTTTTTTTTACGTTTCGTTATCCTACGCAAACCCTCTGTCCATATAGCTTTCCACAGAACCTGAAGGAACCTGAAGAGAAAAAGAGGCGCGTCCGTACACGAAGGCAGTAAGTGCTACACTGACCTGTCTCCTGAGAAAATCTTGGGAGACGAGTGGTCGGAATCAGGGGGACGGGGGAGGGGCAGGGATAGGTGGGGGGAACCGCTGGAGGGAATAGTGGGAAGGGGGAGGCGGAGGGGGGTGGGGGGTGACGAGGGAGTTAGGTATAAGACCTGGAAGGAACTGTGAGGAGCGGGGAAGGGGGAGGGGGAGGGGGAGTGGGAGAGGGAGGGGACTGATATGAAGTAAGGTGGGGGTGAGGAGGAGGAGAAGAAGGAGGGGGAGAAGGGAGAGTTTGAAGAACCTGGGGGTAGATAGAGAGGGGGAGAGGAGAAACTCAGAATAGAGGGACCAGGGGGGGAGGGGGGGAGGGGGAGAATGCTCCTTCGATACCTCTGAGGGATTGGGAGCGAGGGTGGGGGTGTTGGGGGAGGGGGGGAGGGGGAGAATGCTCCTTCGATACCTCTGAGGGATTGGGAGCGAGGGTGGGGGTGTTGGGGGAGGGGGGGAGGGGGAGAATGCTCCTTCGATACCTCTGAGGGATTGGGAGCGAGGGTGGGGGTGTTGGGGGAGGGGGGGAGGGGGAGAATGCTCCTTCGATACCTCTGAGGGATTGGGAGCGAGGGTGGGGGTGTTGGGGGAGGGGGGGAGGGGGAGAATGCTCCTTCGATACCTCTGAGGGATTGGGAGCGAGGGTGGGGGTGTTGGGGGAGGGGGGGAGGGGGAGAATGCTCCTTCGATACCTCTGAGGGATTGGGAGCGAGGGTGGGGGTGTTGGGGGAGGGGGGGAGGGGGGGAGGGGGGGAGGGGGGGAGGGGGGGAGGGGGGGAGGGGGGGAGGGGGAGAATGCTCCTTCGATACCTCTGAGGGATTGGGAGCGAGGGTGGGGGGGTTGGGGGTGGGGGGTGACGAGGGAGTTAGGTATAAGACCTGGAAGGAACTGTGAGGAGCGGGGAAGGGGGAGGGGGAGGGGGAGTGGGAGAGGGAGGGGACTGATATGAAGTAAGGTGGGGGTGGGGAGGAGGAGAAGAAGGAGGGGGCGGAGGGAGAGTTTGAAGAACCTGGGGGTAGATAGAGAGGGGGAGAGGAGAAACTCAGAATAGAGGGACCAGGGGGGGAGGGGGGGGAGGGGGAGAATGCTCCTTCGATACCTCTGAGGGATTGGGAGCGAGGGTGGGGGTGTTGGGGATGGGGGTGTTGGGGGAGGGGGGTGAGCTGAAATGAAAAGACGTGTGTAGGGGGTATAAGGAGGAAAACGTAGATGAATAAAGCGGAATAACAGAAGAATGGAATAAATCAGAAAAAAATGGACAGACGAAGAAAATGACAAGAAGACGAACAAGGAAGAGCAGAACAAAAAATAAGGTAAAATTAAAACAGGTTGAGATGACCTAGAAGAAGAAAGAAGAGAAGAAAAAGACCAGAATAAAAGGGATGGCACAGAGAATAAGGTTAAGAGAAGGGGATGGAGAAAAGAGAGAAGTAGAGAGGAAAGAAGAAGCAAGAAAAGAAATATTGAGAAGAGAAAAAAACAACATAAAAAGAGGGACGATGATGAAGGTAAAAAAGAATAAAATAAAGAAATAGAAAAAAAGAAGAAAGAGCGAGAGGGACCAAGAAGAAAATCAAAGAATAGAAGAAAGGAGAAGAAAAAAAATATGAGAATACGGAGTGAAATGAGGAAGAAGAAGGGACAGGAGAACGAAAGAAGGGAAAATAAAATACACCGAAAAGAAAAAGCAAGCAACGAAATAAAAGGGTGAAGAAAAGAAAGAAAATCCGCACCAATAACCTCAATACCCACGATAAACGTTTGCTTAGAATAATAACAAAGGTGTCAAGATTAATTACACAGTGTGGTAGCAGGTGGTATTTGTGGTACATGGTGACACAGATACTATAGAGGGAGGGTGTAATACTAGTATCATGAATTCCTTCGAAACGTCAGTAACAAGTCTGACAGCAAGCAAAGGGAAAATGTTGATAATTAACTAAATAATCGTCTAAAACTAAACTAGTTTTTATGATCACGTTAGTAGTCATTACTGTCAATCGGTAAATTAACTTTCACTTGAGAGTAAGTCTTGAAGCGAAGAGTTAGAAATACATAAATTTTCAGACAAGATCATTACTCTACGTCGCATTGAAGTCACCACATGATTGCATTCTATTAAATCTACGTAAAGCATCCAACTATTTGCCAAATGATGACTGACGTGAAACCAATTTTCCTCTTACGTCATATAAAAAATAGGATGACTTGTAATGATTAATTAAAAGTGAAAGTTAATCAGAACTTCACAGGTCAATGTCTCTTGGTGATTATTGAGCATTGGAAGAACTGTTGCAACGAGTGAAATGAAGAAGAGACACGAGTCACGAAGAGGGAGATGGTGATTGCAATGGCAGTGATAACATTAGCGAAGATGATGGTAAAGAGAACGATCAAGATGAATGCAATAATGATATAATTAGCGTTAACTAGTTTCGGTTGCATTATTATTGCTAAAGCTACTCTTGTTACTGCTATTGATACACTTTTATGAGACTACCTTTATGATGCTACAACTATTACTATTATTATGCTATCACTGCTATCAACGGTATCTTACTACTGTCATAACTATCATCCAAGTACTATTATTGCTATTATTTCGTTACTATTACGCTACTGTTACTATTACTGTTATACAATAGCTATCAATTTTGTTTGTTATCACATTATCACTATTACAATGAAATGTTACATATAACACTAAACATCACGAGTATCACCATGGTAACTAAGGCAATGAATATAATTATGAGCTTGAATAGCAACACCAAACTGTAATAACAAAGAAAACGGCTACATGGTGACAGTGACAACGATGATTTTAATACCAATGATAATAATATTTTTTTTCTCTCAATTGTAATTATGTAATAATTATTATGGCTGTTATCATTATCATTATTGTCATTAGTTATCGTCATTATCATTACTTTTTCTGAATTGTAATTAAGATTATGAGTATCATTATTATGGTTATTATCATCATTATCATTTTTATTATAATTATTGTCATTGTTATTATCACAATTATCATCATTGTTATTATCACAATTATCACCATTATTATTAATACAATTATCACCATTATTATTAATACAAAACATAGCGTATTCAAAACATAGCGATAGGGTGGCCTTAGTGATGAAGTGTTTTGATTCAGTGAGGCGAAGCTTGTGTATTTGCAGAACGGCTGACGGTCGAAACAAACACATGTGTCAGACACCAACGGTTATATTGACAAATCATTGTGGCGAAAAAGGGGTAAAAAGGAGTTAACGATTAGTTAGGTGGACAGGAGAAGGGGATGAAGGGAAGGAAAAGGAAAGGGAGGAGAAGAAAAGACCCATGAAAACAAGTTGAGGCAAGGGCCGAGGTATAAGGTAAGGGTGGTCCCTACCTTGAACCTCAGTCTCCGTTCCCTAAGCTCCCCACGACGACAACGAGCTAGGGACTGGGAGGGAGGGGGGGGGCAGTCGTTATTAATACGACTATAAAACAAAGATAAATATTATGATTCTAATAATGGTTACAGTCGTACTTATGATCCTAAAGTTAATAGTGTAAATATAACGCAGAAATAGATGAATAAACACGTACGTAGAAACTGATAGATCAATGGATAAATAAACGAATAAGTAAGTAAGTAAATGAATGAATAAGTACATAAGCAAATAAATGAATAAATGAACAGATAATAAACTGCTAAAGTCACCTTGGCATTATCTCCAGCAAAGAATGTCAAGCAAAAGAGAATAAGAGCATATGAAGTAAACAGAATAGAAAGGGATTGAAGAAAATAAAGCAAAATAAAACAAGCAAAGCAAACAAACAGGGCAAAAAAATCGCAAAACACACCTTGAGAAAACAAAACAAAGCAAAACAGAATAATTATAAAATAAACAAACAAGTGAAAAAATCTACCTAATCCCTTGCTCGTGGGGGGAGGGGGGAGGGCTTAGGAGACCGAGGCCCAAGTAGGATCCCCCCCCTGCCTTGGACCTCAGTCGTCGCCTCGAATAATTTGCATTATCTTTTCTTCTCCTTCCCTTTTCCTTCCCTTCTTCGTCACTTATCCCAATCGTTAACTCATTTTTACCCTTTTCGTCACACTACTTTATCACAATGCTGTATGATCGTTGATGTCTAGCATACTTATTTGTTTTGACTAGCAACCATTCTGGAAATCCACAAAGATTGCCTTATGAACCAAGAAACCTCGCTTCGTCCCCAATAAAGGCGTAATAAAAGAATAAATAAGATTAATGAAAGTTTGACAATAGGAAAATTTGTTTCGAAGAAAGTGAGCAGTGGGACAAAAACTTGCATAAACAGTTTATTCACAGGCTTGTTTTCATTACAACTTTTGAACTTTACACATACAAACTCGTGTAAACAGTGATAAAACACATACACAAATCTATGAATGGTAAAACCCTCTACCGTGTTGATACTATGGTAGAAAAACCCACAATGCACAAACTAAATTTATTAAAAAAAAAAAAAAAGTTACCAAATCCTCCTGGAGTCCACCTAGTTAGTGCAATGTGGGTTTTTCCACCTACATACATCTACGTGCACATGGTAGTATTGATATATTCGTGATGATGTATATGGATTCAAGCAGACACATGCGTGTTTTTAGATTCATGACGTATTTGGGCGATTTCACTCTGGAAGTAGGTAGTGATCCGTGGGGCCTATTTTCAAAGTGATGAATTGTGATGACAGTATGCACAATCACGCACGGACGCCCACAGACACAAGCACACACACACACACACACACACACACACACACACAAACACACACACACACACGCGCACACACATACACACACACACACACACACACACACACACACACACACACACACACACACACACACACACACGCACACACACACACACACACAGACAGGCAGATAACTGGAAAGGCAGATAGAAAGATAGCTGGACATATGGATAATAATAAAAAAAACAGACAGT